GAAAACCCTAATACCATTTGTGAGTGCATTTTGAGCTTTAATAGTGCATTGTGGTCATTTTAGTGTTCATTGAAGAAGTAGAAGTTGTCAAGGAAGCTTGGAGTGTCATTTGGCTTCAAGAATCTGCATATAGCCGACCTTAAGGAGCTTCTGGAGGTATAAAGCTTGGACCTTTCCATCTTAATCTCTAGATCTAGCTAGGGTTTTCTAGGTTTGTCCCTTTGGTTGATTTTGGACCCCCACTTGTGAGTTAAGCAACTCCAGAGGATGGAAATGACAGATCTGAGGTCCCTTAGTCCTTTTTCAACATAAAAATGGAGTCTTGGTGGGTGTTTTGACCTTATGCGTGGGTTAAGAACCTTAGAAAGGTCTTAATGGGGGTGTTGGGAACATATGAGACATGTAAAGGCATAAAGTTGCCAACTTTATGCCCTAGGTCGTCTTAATAAGCTTAGATCTGACTTTTGGACGTAAAAGAATCGAGTATTAAGCAGTTAATGGAAAAAGTGGTTAATCTGTTAGTACGTTGGGCATAACCCAGTATACACTGTGCGTAAGTCCCAGAGCCCCAGTACGTTGCGCGTACCAGGATGGTACGCTAAGCGTACGCATCAGATGGGCTTGGATCTGTTTTGGGCCTTCGATCTGTTGGGCCTCATTTGGTTATTGGACTTAGTTGCATAATGAGAATAGTGGGCCATTTTATCTGTATTGGGCCATTGGTGTTATGGTAGGGTTTTATTGGGCCAAGAGGCCCATTAATGATTTTTGGGCGTGGACTTGGGCCCATTAACAAAGAAAGGATATTTGGGCCTTTATAGAAGGACTTGGGGTTTGGGTTTCCCTTTGATCAAGTGAAGTCTTAACATTGGTTAATGTTCTTATTCAGTGTGGGTGGTTGCAGACAGTTAGGAAAGCAGCTTTCGGATTCTTCGGACAGAGATGAGTCTCCTCACCATAACAATGGGTCTAAGGCACCAAGGCCAACCCATTTTATGATGTGTAGTATCCTACCTGAGATTGTATTATGTGACATGTTAGTTGTTATGAGCTAGGAAGTATGCTATTGATATATGTGGTATGTTGTATGGAAGACCATGGGAGAGCCTATAGCACTTGGATGTAAGACCATGTGGAGAGCCCATGGCTTTCCTATCAAAGGCCATGGGAGAGCCCATGACAATTAGGTGTAAGACCATGTGGAGAGCCAATGGCATCCTGGTGTAAAACCCTAGGGACGAGCCCACGACATCCTTATCGGTTGTATGCATGGCTTATGTGATATGTATAGCTGTTATAGCTAGTATGATATGTTTAATGTGGTTTGTGTGTGGTATGCTCTGGGGAACTCACTAAGCATTAGCTTACATTTTGTGGATTTGTTTTAGGCACATCTGAGCCCAAGGGCAAGGGCAATGCATGATGGCGCGGCGTGCACTCTCACTCGGATATTTTATGGGACACTCTGATATTTTGGAAATAAAGTTGTAATTGATATGGTTTTGAAAACAATTGTAACTAGTTTTGTGAATGATAAACATGCATTTTGGATAATTAAAAATGAAAATTTTCTTTTAAAAATTGGGTTGTTACAACACCGTTGAGGGAAACGCGCATGCCACGGCAAGGGGGATAAGATCTGAGACCAGCACCGGGTAGCGGGTTATATTTCTATGCCCAGGAGGAAACTTGGAGTGACTGGTCAAAAGTGTACACTTCCCCATTCCCCTGCAAATGCTTTGTAGACTGAGCTTTGCTCCCCGAGCCTACTTCATGTGTGCTCTGACTGTCGTGGTGCTGGAGCGGTTATCTTGAAAAGATAACATGATCAAATTTGATGGTTAGTATGGTTTCTTGAAATCATAGACTGATTAATATTGTGATTGCTTCGAATCGCTTCACGGAGTAGTAGCAGTAGCGTACTACTCTTCTCCATCCCCTTTTTTTAGGAAATTTTGAGCGATCCTGGAGCATAATACGCTTTCTAAAAACATATTTTGTTGAGCGGAGCTTGCGGAATGCAAGCAAAAATGGCTGATTTTTGTCTTGCAAAATTGGGTCATTAATTTTATTATTGAGATGCCCAATAGCAGAAAAGAACTCATTTTGGAGAGGCCCAAAATTGTTGGTGCCCTTTTGTGAATTTATAGCCTAAATTCTATTGTTTTTTGCAATATGTATGTGAGGCTGTGAGCTAGATTCGGGTATAGAAGGTACCACCTAGGCCACTTGAAGTGATTTTTTCCATTTGTTTAAAAGAGGGTCTAGTTTTTTTTCCTTTGAATTAGACTTGTGGGATGATCTGACTACTAGGAAATGCATTTGGCCCACTTGTGTTTTCATCAGCTTGGAATCGAGGCTTTCTCTTCCAGCCTATCCTGTTCACATGGACTGTCAGAAGAAAATGCCAACGAGGGGAAAAAAACTTCGGCAATCTGCGAAGGGAGGTTTCTGGCCGGCAGCATTGACTGGAGGTGGATCAGGGTGTAGGCTCGTCGGCGACGTTGGTTAACTAGGTCGACAGGAGGCAGCGCAGTGGCTGGATCTGCTGTGAAGCGATGGTTATTGAAGGGTCGTCGACGGGTGAAGCCAACGGTGATGTTATGAATCCGACTGGCGGCGACTGTCCAAGAAAAAGGAGACTGGTGCTTGGCATCAGTGGTTGGTTCAAGGACAAGTAGTGGCTCGATGGGGCATTAACACTCATTGTTAAAGTTGTTGTCTCAGTAGGCCACTGTGGTGAAGAAGTGGCAAGCTCCAATTAGTTTTCATGGAATTGTTCCAATTAGGGTCCTTTAGGGCATATAAGTGAGAACGTAGTATAGGGGACTCAGTGGATATGTGGAGATTTAGTTTGAAGATAGGTTTGTAAATACCATGTTTAGCATGGGTGGTCATTGAGTGAGTGGGAATAGGGAGATTTAGGGAAGTTTCGAGAGTTGAGGGGCGATTTTAAGCAGTTTCGAGAGGTGATGGGTTGTTTTAAATGCTTTCTTGATGTGAGGGGTTGTTTTGTGTATTTTGGAGGGAGGAAAGGCTATTTGGGGGTGTGTTGGAGGAGGAGTGGGGTGTTTGGATGGTTTTTGGTGATGATGGGGGTTGTTCATTGCCATCGAGTAGGTAGAGAATGTGTGATGGATGAAGTTGGTTAATGGTGGTGGTGGGTTGAGCGGAATGTTTGTTAGGAGGAGGCGGAGGCGTGGAAATAGTTTTGGAAGGAGGTAATGGGAAATTATTAAGGAAGGAGTACGAGGGTGGAAAATTAGATGTCATGGATTTAACTAGGAAGGAGGTTGCATCAAACGTGACGTGCCTTGAAATAATTATTTTTAGAGTGTGGAGATCAAGACACCGGTATCCACTGTGTTGAGAGGGATACCCGAGGAAACTACATGGGGTGGAACGAGGTTCAAGTTTGTGTTTGATTGTTATTAGTAGGTAGCATAGGCAACCAAAGACGCAAAGGTGAGAGTATGAAGGCTTTTAGGTAAAGAGCTTGAAAACGGGTATGTTATTTTGAATGGTAGAAGAGAGTGTAAGGTTGAAAAGGTGACACTCCAAGTGAAGGGCCTCCACCCAATAGGTAGGTGGGATATGAGCATGGAAGAGGAAGGGTGTGAATAACATTATTTATGGATTGGATCATCCGTTCGGATCGACCGTTTTATTTGGTGTTCGGGGAAACGACAAACGAAATTAGGTGTCATTGTTGTCAAAGAAGGAGTGAAATTGGTGATTATCAAATTCACTGCCATGGTCACATTGGAATGATTGAATTTCATGTTTAAATTGGGTGCAGGCGTAGGCACGAAAATGAAGAAATTTGCTAAAAACATTCGATTTGTTGTGAATTAGGTACACCGATAAAAATTGTGAGTAATTATTGAAGAACATAATATAGTATTTTACGCCACTATTACTAACAATAGGTGAAGTCCATAGATCAGAATGTATAATTTCAAACAACTTAGTGGCATTATTTTGAGATGAAACAAAAGGTAAACGTGTATGTTTTCTAAGGCGAAAAGCATTACAAGATAAAGAAACATTGTTTTTATTGAAAGAGGTAAAATGGATTGAAATTAAATAGTGGAGAACGCAAGGTTCGGGATGTCCCAAGCGTTGATACGATAGAGATGCAGGGGTGGGGATGATGGCGACAACCGCAGGAGTAAAAGGGTAGAGGTCGCCCATGTTATTGTATCTAAGAAGCATCTGGTTGGTTAAGAGATCCTTTACAGTAAAACCAAAAGGGTCAAATTCAATAGAAGTATTGTTATCGGTAGTAAATTTTGGTACATAAATGACGTTTTTGACTATGTCAAGTGTAACAAGGACATGATTGAGATGGAGAGGACTGTGATGGGAGTGAAATATTTTATGTCTTTTTTGTGTAACCGAGATTGAGGAACTTTTTTCAACCAAAACCGAATTGTATGTACGCTTATTATTAAGGGAGGAGATACTACATGTATTAGACACGAGATGGGAAGTAGTAGTCGTATCCATATACCAGCTTAGGTCTCTGGGGTTGTTGAGTGTCATGGTGTTCAAAAGTTGCGGGGAGCTCGGTGGGCTGATCATGTGGAACAGGAAGAAACCACTACCACGGTAGAGGAATTGAGGAGAGATCAGCAAGCGTATGAAAGGCTGCAGAGGCAGTCTTGAACCCGGTTTGAAACGTCGAATGTTTTTCGAGGATATCGTTAGACAGCGGCTGGCGGTCGTGCTGTGTGGGCTGAACACTTTGCATAGGGCATGGAACAACCCATAGAGGAGGAGCATGCCAACCATAAGCAGCGCACCGATAGAAGAAGGAGGACCAAGGGTTTGTTGTGGGAATCGGGCTGCCAAAAGAGGGTTGTGAAGAGGCTGACTGAGATTGGTGGTTGTTGAAGGAGTCACATGTACGTCGATTTGAAGACGAGTATGGATTGTAGGGGCGCCGATTGTCCTCTTTGGTGTTGTTGGCGAGAAGCATATTGGACGAGGAATCATGATCAAAATAAGATGATGATGATGTATGATTCCTTTTGACACCAAACTCTTATGATACTAGTGCGGGATTCAAGGAAAGTGGGTGGAAGGTCTTTGTATCGTATGAGCATGGAAATATTTTCAAACTTTGGGGAGAGACCATTTAACATGTAGGTCAACAAGGTTTTCTCAGGAACAGGGGCTTCATTGTTTGCCAATAAATCGACAATGGGTTTCATCTTCTGGAAGTATTCAGTGATGGAGCGATCACCCGGAACCAAGGAAAGTAACTCATTATCGAGCTCAATGGAATGGGAGTGTTTATTGTCCCAGTAAAGGGGTTCAAGGGTGTCCCAAATTGAGTTAGCGGTAGAGTTCAGCTTGAGAATCATAGTGAGTATGGAATGAGTCATGGTGCAATAGAGCCAAGACTTGATAATGTTGTCAAGGTTATCCCAATCTGAATCCGTGACATCTTTAGGTTTGGTGGAGCCATCGAGGAAGCCGTGGACTCCATAGCCACAACAGTGGGTGAGAAAAAGTTCACGCCATTCATCATAGTTTAACTCGTTTATGTAACACCCCGACTCTCAGGTATAAACTTTTCAGTCTTATATTTCCATTTGAAAGGTCGACTCGACGAGTTGGATGCCCTGACTCGTCGAGTAGGCACGGTTTTAGTCACAGGTTTTAAGTGACCAACTCGACGAGTTGGAGGACCGACTCGACGAGTTGGAGCTGGAGGGTGAAACCCTAATTTCCGGGGTTTTACACCCTATTTAAAGGGTCATTAGCATCCCTTAGCCTCCCTTACAGCCCCCTTTGAGTCCAGAAACCCTAAATCGCATTTTCTCTCCATACTTGTGTGTTTTTAAACTTGGAAGGTGGATCTTGGTGAGAGGAGCTTGGAGATCAAGAATCTTTGAGCAAGGAACAGTTGAGGGATCTGAAATCTTCTCCATTTTGCAGCACTTGAAGGTAACAAGTCGTTACCTTGAGCTTCCTTCTATATAGACCTCTTTATGTTAGAGATTAGGGCCATTTTAGCTTGATTGGTGTTTCATTTCGGGTATTGAACATGATCTGAAGTTGCAACTTCAGATCTAGGCTCATCTTGGTTCTTATGGTCATAAAGTTTCAACCTTTAGCAAGATAATGCCTTATCCTCACTTAGAACCTCTTCTCTAGCTTGATTTTGGCCATTAACACCTTGCATGTACGTAAAGTTTGCAACTTTATGTAGGAAGTATGCCCTAGGAACTCAGATCTACAATATGGAGCTTTGGGGTGGCTTATAAGCATCTGAATGGAGAAAGGACTAAAGAGACTCGACGAGTTGCATGGCCAACTCGGAGAGTCCGATGAAAATTATCCTTGAAGGTTTCTGCATGAACTCGGCGAGTCAGTAGGATGACTCGACGAGCCTGTTAGGGTTTCCTCGACTTCTGAACACGCATAGACTCAACGAGTTGTTAGTAAACTCGACGAGTCAGTGAGGGTTTTATGACCTTCTGAACCTTTAACGAACTCGACGAGTTGCTAGCTGCACTCGACGAGTTGGGTCAATATGGACTGTTGACTTTGACCATTGACTTTGACTTTGACCAGGGGTTAACCAGTTGACTTCTGGGTATTTTGGTAACTTGTAAATTTATGGGAATGGGCTTATGGTAAATATAGGTGGTGGACTTCATGGATGTGGTTTGAGAGTTTGAGCTTATCACTTCAGTTCGACAGTTGTGAGGTGAGTTTTCCTCACTATGCTCAAGGGTCTAAGGCACCAAGGCCGACCCTTTTTGATTGTTACTCTGTTACTCTGATATGTTATGCTAGTATGAGTTGTTAGATTAGCATCTTGGTAGATAGGATGGTATTATGTTGCTATGATCTGTAGATCAGTATCCTGGTAGATAGGGATGATGTTATGCTAGTATGATCGGTTAGATCGGTTTGTATGTCTATTGACTGTTATGTGATTATCTGAGATATGTGCACATGTTGATTGGTGGTTGAGGCTCCTCTGCTTTGTGCGAGAGCCAACAGACCTGGGCATTCTAACCCAATGGTTGTGGGCCGTGAGTATTCCATCCCGATGATGATTGGACTCGTAGTATGAGGGCATTCCAACCCGATGGTTGTGGGCCTGGGGTATTCCATCCCGAGGATGACTGGACCTATAGTATGATTGGCATTCCAACCCGATGGTTGAGGGCCTGGGGTATTGTTGGATAAGGTGTCTAAGTCCATAACTTATTTGGTATATACTTGACCCGACCCGGCATGGTCCATTTGGGTTGCACTTCACCCGTACTATTTATATGGATAACATTATGAGAAGAGTATATTTGCGGCTTATTAATATATTATAAGTTATAATATATTAATATGAAATTGTATTATTTAATTAGTATTGGTCTTAAATTAATTATGAATTAATTTAGTGATCAAATGGTGACTAATTAAACATGGGCTATTATATTTATATAGTGTGGGCTAACACTCATTATGGTAATGGGCTAAGCTTATATGGGAGTCCATGGATGATCCATGGAGCTTTTAACCCATGGATCCTTGGAAAGGAAAAGACATGGGTTATTAGGGTTTACCCTAATCATGTGCACTATATAAACAAGCTTGTGATGCATGAAATGACACCCTAGTGTGTGTGAAGAAAGGTGGCCGATTTCTAGAGCATAGATGTACTCTCTCATAAGTTTTCCAAGTTTGTGGTGATTTGTGATTTCCATTTGAGGCATTCACACTATTGATGCTTGGCTCTCAAACTCCTAAGGAATCAATTCACAAACAAAGGTATGTAATTCATCTAGTTCTTTTATGTTTAAAAGTTCCCCATGCCATGCTAGATAAGTTATAAACCTTGGAAAACAAATTTTGCATGTATTTTAGACAAACATAGATCCAAGGTTTATTAGGGTTGCATGTACACTTAGGAAGTGTTAGAATGCTCAAAACCCAACAGTGGTATCAGAGACTAGGCTTGTTTGTTGATACTTGATGCAAAATTGTGTTAAAAATCGAAATTGTTTGCTGTCTGAACAGTGGACTCGCCGAGTTCATGGGGGACTCGACGAGTCCAAGTGAAAATTCATCCTACTCGTCTAGTAGGTTCGTGCACTCGACGAGTAGAATGAACCGACAGCAGATTTTCGACTTTTGTTGCTGGAAATGGACTAGAAACATTACCCTAAACTGTTTTGGTGTTTTAAAACCTGTTTTAGATGGTGTAATGTTTATGCTAATCCATTTACAATGGCTTATATCAAAATTCCATGATTTTATGTGCTCATATAATTCTTGAAATCTTGATGATCATGTTCATGTTCTTATGAGTTTAGAAAAATGATAGGAATTATTTGCTGAATTGTTTATCATTAATTCTTGATCATTTATGTGTTTTAATGGAGTCCATAATTTGTCCTCAAGTTATGGATATCCAAATGTCACTTTCTTTTAAACACACATTTAAACACATAAGTTACATAAAAATGAAGAGTTTTCATTTTTATGAACCATTAACTTATAAGTTATGAAATGAAAAGTTTTGAAAAGTTTCAAAACTTGCCCTCAAGTTTTGGAATTTGTAAAGTTACACACACTTTAATATACTTTAATTCCAACCCTTAGAGTTTTAAAAGTTAAAATTCAACCCTTATACTATTTATAACATTAATGGTTAATTATTATATATATGTATAAGATCAAGTCGTTTTACCGTTAGTAGGCCTCATTCACGAAGCCGGTCTATAAGGGGGGTATAAGGTTGTTGCCTATAAAATGGCAACTTAATGGGTGTCCATTCTCACCCACCGCTTCCTTGATCGGTGGAGGGTCGTTAGCCGAACGGGTAGGACAATGACTTTAAATTCTCATTAAAAGTATAATGAATATTATAAAGTAACTAAACCTTTTATAAATTCCCAATCTTAGTTACTTTAGGAAAATGTGAATATGGTGCTAACCCATGAAACTCACACTTTGTACCTTACCAAGTCGTTGGTGGAGCGTGTGTGGTTAACCCGCACACTAACTTGGACTAGTAAGGATCACGAAGGGTGACTTAATATTTATCATAGATCGGTGGAGCGTGTGTGGTTAACCGGCACATCGATTAGGTGATAATATTAAGGGTACCAAGTGAGTTTGCATGGTTATTCACACCTTGTTTTGTGATCCTCGGCATCCCAGTCACAAAACCTGAAGGGCACAATCGAGATTGAAACATGCCATTGAAAGTTCAATGAATCTCAAAAGATCTAGGAGTTTCAAATCCAATTAAAACTTAATAATTTATTTCATTTTTCATGGTGGAAATTGGTGAATCGTCATTCACCTACCTTCAAATATTTTATAGCTTGGATTACGGCATCCCTCTTCCAAGTTATAAAATATTGTGTTGGGTCCTAGCCTTAATATTTCATATTGGGTGTTATATTAAGGACTTAAAATCAACTAACTTGAATATCTCCCATTGTAGATGTCTGGTTTAGACAACTGTGATCTTCCCAAATCTCATGGAAATCATACTTCTCTACCTCCACCTCCTCCATTTATTCTCCCTGACCCACAAGCTCGAAGACTTGAAAAATTCAAGGTCACTCAAGCCCTACTAGCAATGAAACATAAAGATGGAAGACCTGTGTGCACTCATGTCTTAGGAATGAAGTCACACTTTGACAGGTTGAGAATGTTGGGTGTCGTTGTCCCAAGGAAGTTGGCTATTGACTGGGTTCTTCAGTCACTTCCAGAGTCATATAGTGAGTTCATTCAGAACTACTATGTGATAAATCACGACATGACCCTAATAGATCTATCTTATTTGCTTGTTGCTGCTGAGTCAGAAATGATGTGGCGCAATGGTCAAGCAAATATGGGTGGAAGGTCTATTTCTCAAACTTCCATGGACATGGACAATGGTAACATTGGAAGTCCAGAAAAGCCTTTTCTTCCCAATGGAAAGGGATCGGCCTTGGTCGACCCTGTTGACCAAAAGGCAAAGGGAAAGGCTAAGTCTGTGATAATCTCGTGTACCATTCCCAAAGAGTCTATATGTTTTTATTGTCATGAGAAGGGTCATTGGAAGCGAAGCTGCCCTGAATACCTAAAAGATCAGAAAGCAAGTAGAAACAAAAGGTTTGACTCTGCTTCAGGTAAGTCCACTATCTAACTCTATTAAGTTCCTTATTGATGATTCTTAATACAAAATGTGACTCGGTTACATTTTGGTGTTTGGCAGGATCAAGCAAAGGGAAGGACACTTAAAGAAAGAGTATGTTGAATCTGATCGCGAAGATGGATTTCAATCGCATGGTTCGAAGATCGGATTCTTGAGTTGCTACATAAGAGTTATGATAGATTGCTAGAAGATATGTAATAGCATAGTTTTCATTTAAAG